GCCCACAGGGGCCTTGGGAAGTTGTTTTTTGATAGTTTTGGGTAAGAGCTGCCCTCAGGGGCCTTGGAGGAAGGTTCTGGAGGTTCATGGTCTGGGCACGTCCGTGTGCTGTGTCCCTCAGCAATGGATTTGGGAGGTGACCCATGAAATTAGCCAGGAAACCTTTATGGCAGGGTAAATGTGAGCTCTGATGAGATGAAATTAAGAAAATGAGTTTTAAACAAGAGGTGTATGGTGCTGGCCAGCTGAGCCCCAACATTTCTCGTTCCTTAAATTAATGGGGCATTTGTACTTTCAGGGTCAATGCAGCTGGAATTGGATCATCTCCTGTTCTGCTTTTGTTCTGTTTTCCACTGCTGGATTATTGCTTCTGTTTGCTCCTTTTATTTAGATTATTTTTGGTGTGAACACTTCCAGCTGCTGTGCTACAATTAGCCCAGTGAAGCAATTAACTACAATTAACATGGAACTATAATGAAGCAGGAGAAAAGAGACTTTTATAAAGAGCCTGACATCATAACCCTCACAAGAGAGCTGTCACCCATGTACTGGGCATACTGGTGTTACTGGGAGCTCCAAATTTCCACCCTCCCACCTTAGTGTGCAGCTGGGATCCCATGGAAACCTCTTCCCATCATCCAGGAATGGGTTTTTTTCCCCAGGGAAAAGGATTTCAGAGCTGGAGGAGTTTCCTAAGCTGTGGTGTGGTCTCAAGCTGTCGAAAGTGTTATCTCACTCCCTCTCTCTTTCAGCTGGGGAAAGAAAAAATGCTTCTGTTTTCTGCTGAGTGCCAGAAATCCTTTGAAGTCTTCTGCTGGAACCTAGTGATTTGGAATATTACATAGGGAGAGTTATTCCAGCTTTTCTGGATGCAAGAAGTGAAAAGAGTTGGGAAAATCTCAAAAGGTTTTTAGCAGAGATTGTTTTCAGCAGCTTCTTTCCTTCCTAATAAATACCTCTTGCCTAAACCCATTAAAATTTAGTGAAGAATGTGAAGAATTCACACAACAAATGAGTTTTTACTTGGTTAAACCCTCCCAAAAAGCACCTGCTGCTGTTTTCCTGCTCCTTCCTGCACCTCCCAAAGCCAAACAAAGGGAACAGGCACAATAAGGAAGAAAAGTGCTTTGCATGGATCCCACCATGGGAGGGCAATGGAAATCCGGAACAAAGTCCTCTCCAGGTTCTGTTTGCCAAATGAAATGTTTAAAGAGCAATATTCCATCAGGTGTGTGCTACTGGAGATAGCAGCTCCAACCTTTGCATTCCTGGAAAAAACTTCTCCTTGTGCTCTGAAAGCTGAGTTTGATGTTGTGGGGGAGAAATCCACTTTTTAAGGCATTAAAAATTATTTTTAAGGAGCAGAACTGATGAGGAAGTGCCCTGGCACTCGCATCATCGTATTTTCTAGATGAGCAGAATCTGTGGAGATAGAATTTAAACCCACTTGGAGACAGAATTTATACCAACTTGCTAAGTGAATATTCCCACTTTTCACCTCCAATGTTGGGATTGTAACCTTGACTCTATTTTACAGACACTTTGGAGAGGAATTGTCACAGGTTTTGCCATTTTTCATCCCCTCCAGTGCTGTGTTTGTTACTCGAGGTGTGATTACAGCTCGGCACCTCGTGTTCGCAGGTTCCCAACTGTGATAAACTATCAGGACATCTCCTGTTGGAGCTCAAAGCTCCCAGCTGAGCCCTCAGCACACTCAGGTATTTGTAAATGCCTTAATTTGAAACAGATCAGAGCAGTTTTTTTATTTTCCTCCAGAAACAGGAGAGTTCTTTGGCTGGAGTTCACCCCAGATCCTTTTAAAAGATTCTCAAGCCTCTCCCCAAAACATTCACCACAAAATAATCCTTCTGCCACAGTGCCAGCCTGGCCCACACACATCCAGAGTATTTATGAATGAGTGGAAAGCACAGAAGAGCTGAGTCATGCAGCCAGAGGTCGTTTCTGAAGAATAAAATTTTATTTTTCTTTTGGCTGAAAAAACTGCATACACATGTTCAGATCTGAGCAACCTTCACCACATGTCTTCGTTTCCAAACAAATTTGTGCTCTGAAGCATGCAGGAGCCCACTGCAGCTTGAGAAAGAAGTTGAGAGGGTTTTCTTTTTAATCTAGAACTGTGCAAACATCATTTGAAAGCTATTTACATTTTGAACTCTCGCTTCTACCAACAGGAGCATCAGCTGGTAGAGACGTGCAGAGTGCAGCTGTAATTTATGATTTGGCACCCACGTTTGATTTGTGTGGAGTGAAAACCAGACAAACCTCCCACTGTTCCAAAACCTCCCCACAGGCAATGGCAATAAATCTAATTTCTTCTTTGTGAAGGAAATCTCTTTAAGCCTTCCCTGCAGGTATTAAAATATTGTTTCCACTCTGGAGCCTCTTCCCCTGGTGCTGATTTGCACTTTGCTGCCTTGGTGAGTGGGAGCAGCAAGAAAAGATTTTGATTTTCACCAGAGAAGGCAGGAGGGCACTGAGACAGAGCAGGGCTGCTTCTTCCTAAACTGCAAGAGGAGATGTAGAATATTTTTCCAAAAAGAAAATATTTCAGACCATCCAAACTCAGATGCAGGAACTTAGATGTGAAAAAAGATGGATTTAAGTTCATCCTCCTGTTGCCTTCTCTTCCAAGTTCCTCTCCCATCCATTGAAGCCTGGAAGTCACCAACCAGCCACACCCGAGCACTCCAATCCTGCTGGAGATCCTCATTTTTTATCTCCTCTAATCTGGCCCCTGGATCGTGTTGGAAGAACTTTGGGTGTCAGGAACCACCAAACAGCCTCTGCCAGAGCAGTTGGATGCAGCTTGTTTCCAAAGAAATGAAAAACTTCATGGATTAAAAGAATATTTAATGGAAATTACAAGTCTAGGAAAGATTTCCCTCTTGGGTGATGCCTTTATGCATTCATTGTTCCCGACTCCACTTGGAAAAGAGAACGGCTGAGCAAGAATTAAACAGGAACTAGGGTTTGCCTTCACTGTTCATTGTTAAATGTGCTTTTTGGCATTGGAAACAATCTCTAAATGCAAGCTAAAAGCATCCATTTAGAGAAAATAGAATGATAAGAAAGTGTTCAAGGCTTTACAGAGGGATTCTGTTATTTTGGGGTTTAAGGATGTTCCAAGCAGATCAGTCCATAGGGAATTCATCAGATTTCCCTGCTGGAAAACCTCCCAATGTCCCATTTTCTTCTACCCTCGTGCTGCCTAAAATGCCAGACCAAAGAGGCTTGGAGACCTCACACCCCTCCAGCCTGGTGCTCACAGTGAGCTTGGGACAGCAGAACTTGTTGTTTTGTCCCTCAAAGCAACAAATCCTAAAGCAGCACTGGGAAAGAGCCTGGCTGAGCAAGAATGAAATTGGAAATGGGGTTTGGTGCTGGAGGTGGGAGCTGCATGGATCCTGTGCCCTTCCAGGAGCTGGAGCTGCGTGGATCCTGTGCCATTCCAGGACCTGGAGCTGCGTGGATCCTGTGTTGTTCCAGGACATAGAGCTGCGTGGATCCTGTGTTGTTCCAGGAGCTGGAGCTGCATGGATCCTGTGCCCTTCCAGGACCTGGACCTGCGTGAATCCTGTGCCATTCCAGGAGCTGGAGCTGCGTGGATCCTGTGTTGTTCCAGGACCTGGAGTTGCGTGGATCCTGTGCCCTTCCAGGACCTGGAGCTGCGTGGATCCTGTGCCATTCCAGGAGCTGGAGCTGCGTGGATCCTGTGTTGTTCCAGGACCTGGAGCTGCGTGGATCCTGTGTTGTTCCAGGAGCTGGAGCTGCGTGGATCCTGTGCCATTCCAGGAGTTGGGTGCCATTCCCAGAGCGTTTATGGAAGAGGGGCCGTGCTGGGTGCCTCGCTCTGCTCCAAGCCCGTGGGGGAAGCAGGCAGGGTTTTCCTAAGAGCCAAACTTCAGCAGGATCAGCATTTCACAGAGCTGCTGAGCCCTGCTGGGCCCGGCTCAGTTCAGCACGGCGCTCTCGGCCTGGGGCCCGAAAATCTGCGAGAAGAATTGCAAGGCCAGGCGGACGTGGATGGGCACGAAGACGTAGGCTGTGTACACCACCATGGCCAGCACGGTGACGGTGATGGTGTGGAACATGGACTGCTCCCAGGGCTCCAGCACGTAGCTGCACGTCACCAGCTGGTACTGGTAGTACAGCCAGTACAGGTAGTCCTTCACCCTCTTCACGTCCATCGTCAGCTCCTGTGGGGTTGGAGAGCACCTGGAATGACAGGGAAATAGGGATTACAGCTGGTTGTACAGCCAGTACAGGTAGTCCTTCACCCTCTTCACGTCCATCGTCAGCTCCAGTGGGGATGGAGAGCACCTGGAATGACAGGGAAATAGGGATTACAGCTGGTTGTACAGCCAGTACAGGTAGTCCTTCACCCTCTTCATGTCCATCTTCAGCTCTGGGGGGGTTGGAGAGCACCTGGAATGACAGGGAAATAGGGATTACAGCTGCTTGTACAGCCAGTACAGGGAGTCCTTTGTCACTGTAGGACACGTGAAAGCACGACACGAGCTGCTGCTATTGCAAGGTGAAAAAGAGAAAGTTTATTTTCTGACTCCAGCATTTATGCTTTTCCAAAGGTGACAGTGGATTGGAGAGTGGAGGTGCCACCTCTCCAATGACATTGGACAAACTACCTGCACATCAAGTTTCTCCACCCCTATGAAGGAATGCAAAACAATAGGTTGTTTACAGAAAGTTGTGTGAGAAAGTTCTCCAACAGAATGTAAACTCAGAAGGCTTTAGAAAATCTTAAGAATCAGGGTGACAGTCCTTCACCCTCTTCATGTCCATCTTCAGCTCCAGGGGGTTGGAGAGCACCTGGACTGACAGGGAAATGGGGATTACAGCTGGGGTATCCTGTGGAACCACTACACAATCTCATTTTCCGAGGTGCAGGCGCCACCAGCTCTCCTGGATCAAAGGGAACTCTTGGGTTCTGCAGCTGCTGGGCATTCCCACTTCCCAGAAAAGCTGTGGCTGATCCATCCCTGCAAGTGTCCAAGGTCATGTTGGAGCAAGCTGGGATCATGGAAGGTGTCCCTGCCCACGGGAGGTGTGGGACTGGATGATTGGACTCCCTTCCAACCCAAACCTTCCTGTGATTCTATCAATTCCCACATTCCAGGTGTGTTTTCCTATTCGTTCCCTGTGGAGGTCAGGGAAATAGGCATTTAAAAGGAAAGGCTTTGGCCCAGCTTCCAGAAATGTTCAACAAATTCCATAACTGTTCCATAAATTCCATAGTTGTTCCATCAATTCCAGAAATGTTCCATAAATTCCATGTATGTCCCTGAATAAAGATAAGATTAAAACAATTGCCCTGTAAAAACTCCTCTGCTTACTTTTGATAATCATTTTTATTGCTCTGCAATTGTTGGGAATAAAGAAAAGCCAAGTTACGAAAGAGAGAGGGAGAAAAAAGTAATCGCTGATTGCAGAAGGATTTTTTTGCAGCTCATTCCAAAGAAATGAAAAATTTTAGAGATTAAAAGAATATTTAATGGAAATTACAAGTCTAGGAAAGATTTTTCTCTTGGGTGATGCCTTTATGCATTCATTGTTCCCAACTCCACTTGGAAAAGAGAACGGCTGAGCAAGAATTAAACAGGAACTAGGGTTTGCCTTCACTGTTCATTGTTAAATGTGCTTTTTGGCATTGGAAACAATCTCTAAATGCAGGCTAAAAGCATCCATTTAGAGAAAATAGAATGATAAGAAAGTGTTCAAGGCTTTACAGAGGGATTCTGTTATTTTGGGGTTTAAGGACATTCCAAGCAGATCAGTCCATAGGGAATTCATCAGATTTCCCTGCTGGAAAACCTCCCAATGTCCCATTTTCTTCTACCCTCGTGCTGCCTAAAATGCCAGACCAAAGAGGCTTGGAGACCTCACACCCCTCCAGCCTGGTGCTCACAGTGAGCTTGGGGCAGCAGAACTTGGCTGTCCCTCAAAGCAACAAATCCTAAAGCAGCACTGGGAAATTTGCAGTCTGGGATTAAAATAAGGATGGGCCACTGATACAGGTCAAAAATATTCCAATATTCAGTGTTTTCCTGCTCAGTTCCGGGGGGATGTGGGATTTACTAAAGGGAAGTTTTCCCCACTAATCCCAAAGCATTTCCTTCACTTCCATCTTCCAGTATTGCCTAGAAAGAAAGTTTGTACGATGATTTTGGGGGACAGATGAACATTTTAAATGTAGCAGTGGCTGTGTCTGTGACCAGCTTTTCTTGCAGGGGTTCAGGCTGGGGAG